AGGGAGGGAGGGAGGGAGGGGAGGGAGGGAGGGAGGGACGGAGGGGACGGAGGGACGGAGGGACGGAGGGACGGAGGGACGGAGGGACGGATGGACGGAGGGGAGGAGAAAGAGGAGAGTGGAGGAGGGAAGGAGGAAGAGGAAGAAGAGGAGGCTAACGACCAGCAGGTTTGTCTTGTCGTCGTGATGTTCGAGGTTACGGGAGGGTACGAGTATGTGCTGCCTGTCATGGTTGGAGTTCTTCTGAGCAAGTGGGTGGCGGATGCGTTCGGCAAGTCGAGGTCAGATAAGCCATGATAGAGATTATGATGAAGATGGAAATTATGTTGACAATGATGTTGACAATGATGATGATGATGATGATGATGATGATGATGATGATGATGATGATGATGACGACGATGATGACGATGATGATGCACAGCAATCGTGATGCTCGTTTTCATTTTCCTTCCTCATCTTTTTCTAACTCAATTCCAAGTATCTACATCGAGCTCATACACCTGAAGGGTTATCCGCACCTTGACAACAAGAGAGAATACGCTTTCAAGTGATCTCTATCTCCACCTTCACTCTTCTCTTCCTCCTTTCTTCTTCCTCGTTCCTCGTTCCTCCTCCTCCTCCCTCCTCCCTCCTCCCTCCTTCTTTCTTCCTCCCCCACCATCTTCTCCCCTTTCATCTTTCCTCTTGTTGTTCCTTTTTCGTTTTTCCTTTCTCTTTCATCCTTTCTCTTTCGTTTCACTTTCCCTTACCTTTTTTTGCTTACTAGCGAACGGGCTAGCGATGTGATGAGTTGTCGGGAGTTGTTTGTTTTGAGCATCAATGGTAAGAATAAAACAACACACCACAACACAACACAGCATAACGCAACACAACACAACACAACACAACACAACACAACACAATGCAACACAATGCAACACAATGCAACACAATGCAACACAAAACAATGCAACAAGCAACATGCAATTTCTAGGGCTGCCTTTCCCTGACAAAGATTGATTGTGATGCTGAGAATGATTTTGACGACTTGTTTCAGGGAACACAGTTGAAAGCATCGAAGGCCTTCTAGAAACAACCTCGTATCAAGTAAGTGCAGTAGAATCGTCGTCGTCGTCATCTCCATCATCATCATTGTCATCATTGTCATCTTCATCTTATTGCTGCCACTACCATTTTCTTCTTTGCTGAGCCTTCCTATCAGGGATTTCCTGTGGTGACATCTCCTTCGGAGATGCTGGTGAGTAAAGAGAATTGATGTCTATCTCTCCATGACAGTTTCGACTTTCTTGTTGAGAATGTTTCATGTTTCATGTCTGAGCTTCAGTGTGATTCAACCTTCATCGTGAATTGAATTTTCTCATCTACCCTGCAGGTCGTCGGTTTTATTTCAAGAGATTCTCTCACTCAAGTCATGAGAAAATGTCGAAACCATCCGCGGCTAACCGGGAAAACCAAATGTTTCTTCAGTTCCAAGGTGAACAGCAAACAATGATGACGACAGTGATGATGATGATGATAATCATGATCATGATATGGGCGATGATGATATGGATGATTACAGCATAGATGATGATAATCATGATGATGATGATGATGATGATGATGATGATGATGATGATGATGATGATGATGATGATGATGATGATGATGATGATGATGATGATGATGATGATTTGTTGCCTTTTCACTTTTCCTTCAGGTCGATTGTGATGATCCCTACGTCGATCTCAGCCCTTGGCTTGACCAGTCACCCATTCAGGTCCCTTCCTCCTGCTCCTGCTCCTGCTCCTGCTCCTGCTCCTGCTCCTGCTCCTGCGCCTTCCATTCCCATCACTTCGTCCCTCCCCTCCTTCATCCTCCTACCGCTCTTGCTTTACCTCTCCTACCCTCTTCTTGCTCCCAGATCTCTCCTCCCCTCCATTTCCCCACTCTTACTGCTTGTCTCGTCATTTCCCGCTATCATCTCTTGACTGAACTTCAGATCGTCGAGACTACTCCTCTTGATCGCGTCATCGGTAACATGCGATCTCCTCCTTCTCCTCCTTCTCCTCCTTCTCCTCCTTCACCTCCTCCTCCTCCTCCTCCTCCTCCTCCTCCTTCTCCTTCTCCTCCTCCTCCTCCTCCTCCTCCTCCTCCTTCTCCTGCTCCCCCTCCTTCACTTCCTCCTCCACTTCCTCCTCTTCCCTTTTCCGCCTCTTCTACGTCCAAGCCATCCGTCACCTACCATGTCACCTTTTTCTCCTCCTCTTCTATCTTACCTTCTCTTGTTCAACTGAAGTCTGTGCCAGAAATGTTTAGAGCTCTTGGGCTGCGCTATCTACTCGTAACACACAATGGACAACTTGTGAGTTCTATTCTATGATGATGGAGATGGAGATGATGATGATGATGATGATGATGATGAGTGACAATGGGAATGATGAAGATGAAATGATATGATGAAATTTTTGTCATTGTCGTCGTCGTTTGCTGTTGTTTGTTGTTGAGGTTGACGATCTTGATGAATTTGCATCATTGCAGGTTGGAATCTTGAAGAAGAAAGACATCTTGGAGCACATTGAGTTGTATCGCAAGGTAACATGCTGATTTGTCATCATCTCAAGGATCTAATCTGATTCTTCCTTGCTCTCTTCGTCTCCTTGTCCTCCACTTCTCCCCTCCCCTCCTTCTATCCCTCCTCCCTCCCTCTCCTCTTTTCCTTTTCTTCTCTTCCCCTTTTGCTTCCTCAGGGCCTGTCAGACCGTCGGGAGGCAAACGATCTCTGATCACCTGCGTGTCTTCTTCCATCTTTATACAAACAAAACAAAACCAACCATCCTCAACCCAAAACATCATCTCTGTACAATCGCACTTTTCCTCGTCATAGCCTTCTCCCCCTCCTTCTCGTCCTCGTCCTCGTCCTCGTCCTCGTCCCTATCCTCAAGCAATCGATAGGACATGAATCCCGTCGAGCATCGCTTCCTGCAGCGGACTCTGGCAGTCCTTCTGTTTCATGTCAGGTTCTCCTCCCTCCATCCACCTTTTCTTGTTTCCTCCTCTTCCTTCTACCGCCTCTTCCTCCCCTCCTATGACCTTTCTGGTTCATCCCCTGCCCTTCTATCCTGACCTCTCAGTTTACCTCCCTTCCTCTCCCTCCCTCCCTCCCTGTCCCTCCCTCCCTCCCTTTCCCTCCCTTCCTCTCCTTGGCTCACCTTGGCTGCTCCTGCCTTCCACATCGTCTGCTCCCACTCGCGCAGGAAGTGTTGCTGCGGGCCGATTACGCTGAAAAGAGATGAATCAGTGAAACAAAGTA